TGAAATTCTTTTACAACCCGGAGAAATTGCATTAAATTAGGTTTCACAATAATAATCTATGTTTGGTAGCTAACTCACCGAATTCGAGAAATACCGTTTTCATCAAAGTCGACCGTGAAATCAAGGTCATTTTTGTTCACAGCTTTGAACGTTTGTATTGTTATCAACATAAGGAAGCAAGCAGCGCACGAAACCAAAAGTTTTCGTTATATCAGTGAAGAGGACAGAAAAAAATTGCACGAGCACACAAGCTGGGGTTTTCCATATCAAATCTTGTCCAATGCTTTAACGTTAAGAAAAGTACGATTTACGATAATCCATGGAAAAACCACAATCAGAACAGTTTGTGGAGGCCGTAAACCGAGTACATCCAAACAGGTGAACGACCTAATTCGGATTATTCTAAAGAAAATTTGCAGAAAATCGTTGTTGTCTATCCAATGGGAAAATCTTCCCCACCATTGACACTCCCTTCTGCAAAGAAAGAAAAACTTTAAAATGCGTCAGGTTTCAGCTGCTGTCAAGCCAGCATTGAGTGCGCAACAAAGACTGGCCCGTATTGATTTTTTCCGAGAATTTAAATCTCGATGTGCGTCATTTTGGCGATCGGTTTTACCACCGACGAGTGCCCGGATATCAATAAGATTGAAAATCTGTTCTCTGTTTTGAAGAGACAGGTCAATGGGCTACCTGTATATTGGACATTGGAGGTAAAAGTGCGACACAGATTGGAGCACAAAATAGAAAATGACTTCATAAGAAAGTTGGTGGATTCGATGCCGAAGAGACTCAGAAAAGTCCTAAAGAAAAAAGGCAGACCAATCGACCATTAGTGTGCACAAACTGTACATATTAAATTGTTTTATTCTCTTCAGTTAGCTCTTAGCTCATCGTGGTTTAGCTCAACCACTACTGACGAAATGCTGGTATCCGCTACATTGTGAACCATTCAATCTTCTGAGTTTAAACGAATCAAGAGAATCAATATTACAAGGACTCACCAAAGCTTGCTTATTATTATTGGGAAAAAGCTTCAGTATAAATGCTGCTGCCTATACGAACCATTAAGTGCTTCATAGGGACCCGTTGCCTCAGTTTCGATTAGACCTATATATATCATCCAGTTGTTGAGAGATCATTGATCACAGAAGGTCTTTCAGTATGAAAGCAAAACGAACCCATAGTGACCACACCAATTGGCCTTTCTTCTATTGTTTTTTACATTAAAAAATTAACAATTTCTATGCGTAAACTAACGAGATGTTATTCATATTCTTCAGGAAATGTGGTAACAAGGTAATTGAAGGTATTATATCATTGGGTAGAACCGAGACCGATAAACCACTGTGATCATTCAAGTTTGCACTGAATATCTTGCTCTACTTCAGTCCTAGATGATTTACTCTGTCTTAAGTCTTTCAGCCGATTGATTAGCATGCAGCATGGTTCTTGCATTTTGACACGATTCCGAATCGCTTTGCTACAAAATTGCTCCCATGTAATGTGTAAAATATCAGCATAGCAGGTGCCTTGAGTTTTTCAGCCGCAGAGAATATAACCTCTACTTTTGTACATTTGATATGTGGAACTTCCGTCTGGTAGCTCCTGCACGCTACGGAACCGGAAAAAGGAAAGATTCAAGCGCAAGCCAAGAGGGAAGAAGAATTCAGCCGCTTTTTCCAATTGGTGAATGCTCTTGCATTTCCCTCGACGCAGTTACCTGAGAATCGATTTGGTCAATTGTGTCGCATCGGGTGAGTGGTGATTAAGTGTGATGAAACCCATTTTTACACAGATTATTTCCGTATTTTATTCATACTACTTACGAGTAGCAACAACTAACAACACTCAGTTGCATTGCTCTGAGACCTGTGATCAATGGAGCGCGACATTTGTTATGGTTTGGACTGATCAGTCTTCATCTGTATAAAAAATCCCTAATTTATCCAGATATCCGTGTACTTAGGTAGTATCAAACACGAGGCTCGCTAGTTTGAGTTAACCAGAGGTGCATTTTCGTCGGCATGCATGGTTGTAAAAACTGAAACTGAACCAAATATTTTGGTTTTTGGTTTTGATCTCCACCCCCCTCCCCCGCTTGAATTGAAAGTGCATGTATTATCGAGCAGCTCATAAGTGGTTTAGCCAAATTCTCAATTCAAGTTTGTTCAGATGTTTTCAGTGGTTATCAGTCAGCTCATCGAGCCCGGTAACACTACTGATGAGTTCTAAATTGAGCAAAACTCGGGTTTGGCGCTTCCCGATTGTCTGGTTGATTGCATTCCTAGCAATGTATCCGATTGTTCATCAAATTAATATAGCCTGTTATTGTCGATTCTTTCAGTTATCAGCAACTGTTGCTTGGATTGAGCGAATTATTTGAGCAGTGTTCAAATCTACGTCCGTACCATGGCATGCCACATCTGACAGCAACCAAGATAAAGAGTGAGTGCTACCATATTGTTATTTCCTCTTGAATATACAATTTACTTCAGCAATGTCTAGGATGCGATTTTGAGTCAACTCTAGATCGGCTACCCCAATCGCGGCAGGGACGACGAAATGTCTCATCCACACTCTGATTAGATTCGGCAAGGTGTAAAACAATGACACGTGTAATGGTTTTAGTTTCACCGGTGTTCAGCTTGGCCGAACGGTGTTCGTGAACAATTGCAGACGAACACCGGCTCGTGCGGCCGATAAACGTTGTTCCATAGGAACACGCAAAGCGGTTCACAGAATTCGACCGAAGGAGTAGAAATGTTGTCTTTGAGTTGCGAACATACGATCGATCTGGACGTGAATCCGTTATATATTTGCCGCATGTAAAGCTTTCTCCACCGCAGTTATCAGCTTATCGCTAACCCCTCTCTTGATTGTAACCCCTTTCAATGGATGTACACACTAGCATTTACATTTAACCGTCTCTCCCATGGACGGGGATTTTTCAAAAAGCTGCCCACGAAACATTCTGTATAATGGTTTGGTTGGAAAAAATCACAGATGAAAAATAGTTGCGCGCTGATGGTGTTGTCAGTGCACTTTTCATCGCCCCATCCTCCAAACCGATTACTTTTTTGATTGAGTGGCTGTTGAAATGTTGAGATGGACGATACGACCGGGCTAGCGTGAACCGTGGCCACAATTAGTGCGGCCCACGCGCGTATATAGAATGGGCTCCAGGATACCAAGNCCTTCGAGCCTTTAGAGTTCAGCGTCCACTGGGAGCAGAGCAGCATACGGAACGAATCATCGTGACCGGAAAACAGGTTTTGTCTCATCGACTTTCGTTCAGGTGCAGTGGCCAAGGCTTTTCTCGAACACCGCGGGGAATTCGCGGGTTATGAGGTTGATAAGCTGGTCGGCATAGGAAGATGATTGCAGTGAGCGGCATATTACGTTGATGGGAAGTTCTACCAGTCCGAGCTATTCGATCCAAACGATACTCAAAATGGCGAGACCTGACTGGTTCAGATAACAACTGGTGTCGATTTTCGTTTGTTGATAGGACACACGGCAATGCAGTTGTCGAGTTAACTGCAATGATCAACCGCATGCACTCGTCACAGACACCGACAAGGATTCGAATGCTGACGAACCCAGTGCTCGCCAGGTTTCTTCCGAGATGATTTTTATATCAGATGCTTTGTCAAACTGCATTCTCGTAGGG